ATAAAGGAAATGATCACCAACTAGAAAAAGCTCTAAATTGTTCAACAAACTCTCCTTGTCACATTTTAAAAAATGTACACAGAACAGTATGGAGTTAGGGTGTCAAGGGTTAACAGATTTTTGCTTTGTGGTCATAAAAACCAAATAGATTCCATGTTGCCTTTGGTCTGTACAGTAATAGATCACAGAAGATGACAAAACACAGGAAGTATGTCAGTGACACATTCAGCTGCACCACTAACCTTTGTTCTCTTTGCATTTTGATGTCACCTGCGATCTAGTACCAAACAGACACAAGTCAACACAAAATTTATTTATTAACCCTTTACCAGCAGGCAAAAAACCTTATAATTTGGCCATACAAACCTTAAGCTCACCTTGTTTATCGTTATATGAAGTATCCCTTACAACATTTGCGGTTTTGAGACACCATGGGTTCAGACTTTGGGGTCACGTGACCTAGATTATCCGCTCGTGTTTGGATGCGTTCAAATCGATTCATTTTCTCGCATTTATAAGTGTTTTTTGAGCCATTTTCCCTCCACAGAAGCCCTCAGGACAGCATCATTAAGCTAGAATGTGGGTAGAGGTAAGCCTCTGAAAGAAAACGGAGGTGAGAGGTGGTTTCATGTAGACACTGGACCGCCAAAATGCTTTCATGCAAGCTTGAAGAGTTCACAAGTGAAGTCGTGTCTCTGGCCCATCTGTGGATGGCTTCCAGGACCTACCAAGGCTTTTTGGGCCAGTTTTGAGTGGCAAAAGTCTCGATTGATGTGATATTTTGCTGGTAGGACTAGGTGGCCCAACACGATTCTAATAATTTGTTAAAATGGAAATGTGAGGTGTTGCCTTCTCGAGTTGTGGTGGAATTTCCCTGAATTCTTTTCAGTCATAAACGAGGCAAAGGTTGTTTGCGACACTAGTTTTTCTCAAAAGGAAGAACAAGGGCTAGCGAATAAAGTGAGAAGGCATTTTCCAGCCTAACAGCAAGATCTGGCCCTGAGTTGTGTTTTGATTGCAAACTTTTGATTTCTTGAGCAAGTTTTGATGTTAAAAGATCGACACTTTTTCAGTGTTGCTCTTGGAGCAGAATGCTGGAGTTTTGGGATTTGTTGTTATATGAACGGTTCACTGCAATGGAAATCGGGAATCATTGTGGGTGTTTTTGGATGCAATAGGTGTCACGTCAAACAGCCTTGCAATGTACACACTTACATAATGTCGTCTCTTAATTTCAACAAGAAACAACAACAGTAATAGTCGTAATTTCTACCATGTATGCGTGGCTTGCTGGTAAAGGGTTAAATAGATTAACCATTTATTTTACAGTTAACATGCATGCACCATAAAAAAATAACAAGTGAGTTGTTCAGATATTAAGTTTAAATGGTAACTTTTTGTTTATTTGCTCCTGAACACATGGATTTGCAATTAAAACAGGCCCTCACTTCCGAGTCATTTGTCAAAAAAAAAAAAAAGCTCCACTAGTGCCAATAAAAAAAATTACAGGTACTGTACATGATGAAAAAAGTTACAAACAAACTAACAATCCATTCAAATATAAAAATTTTGCAAACACAATTTCAACAGAAAAACAATTGGATGAATACAATTCATGGAGACAAGGAGCAAAATTGCAACTTGAGCTGGCTGACAATACCACTGAAGCGGAGCTACGCTATTGGTGGGAACATGGCGACGAGAAAAACACGAATAAATTCGTACAATGAAAAGCGTTCGTTGATACCTGTGGGATTAAGAGTGCCGATTTGAAAGATAAATTTTTGTTCAAGAGTTTTGCGGTTTTCCGTGTTGCCTATATGTAAGGAAAGACCGCAGATTGCCCTATGTTGTTTAGAATGATTTGGCAAATTAACGTGTCTAGCACCTGGTTTTGATGCGTCCTTGTCATTCCTTTCTACGTAGCGAAGGAATCGGAATCGGTCACCTAGTCGTCTTCCTGTTTCGCCGATGTATAACTTTTTGCAATAAGTGCAAGTTATGCAATAGATTACGTTGGCGGAGGTGCACGTGAAGTGATCGGTGATCTTAATGGATTGCTTGGGTCCCGATATTTTCTCAGCATTGTGAATGAAAGGACAAGTTTTGCATAGTGCGATCAGCGCATACAAAACAGTTTCGCAGGCTATCATGAGAACCACTCGTAACAAATGCAATCTCGGTGAAAAAGTCTTACTTGACATTGTGTTGCAATTGTAAGTTTACACAGCTCTCGTGGAGATTGTTCTCTCAGATGTTGGAGGAATTTCACGTGGGGCGTAACTTCCTTCAGAACTCGTACAATTGCATCAACTTCAAATTTTCTATCATAACGAAACCTGGATAAAAGAAGTAAATCGTTGGTTAGTCGACTAGCTAACATTTCAGTACTTAGAACAACCTAAAAATGAACACTCCATAAGTATGACAAAGCAAATCTCTTTCTGTTTTTGCTTTTTTTTTTGGTATCCTAACCTGAATCACGCAGAAATTTTAAACAGTAATGTGCTCAGAAGGAAAACACGACCCCAAACAAACTCCACTTAATCAATTGCCTTAAATGTCGCACTCTCCTCACCTCTTTAACCAGCAGATATACTTGCGGATAAATTCATGGAAAATAAACGACTTGAATACCTACATGTATGTTATCGTTTAAGTATCCTGAGCATTTCACGACAAAATGAAATGCGTAATACACTGTGCTAAGCGCACTCTGAATGAAAAAAAAATTCCATAGTTTATTGCACCTGAGAGCAAAAGTCCGCACCCTCTTTTGGTTTTCCG